CATTTCCTATGAGGCACAATTAAATCAAACAGTAGTTACTCTATTTATTTTAGGTTATTAGTTTGCTATTATATACAATTATCTCTTCTTTAAATGCATGTATTAAAAAAATTAAAATTGAATAAAATCTTGAAATTCTTTTTAGCTTATGCATAATTATTGTCACCTACATTAAATAGGTACGCGCTCTTGTAAAATAATATTGAGCTTATTAGAAAATGTTTTCTTCTATAAATAATATTTTGCATGATTATATTATATTATTTAATTAATATTTAAATGAGAGATCAATATAATTAATTGATAACTAATAAACACAAATATCTCAAAAATGATGTTAATTTCAGAAAAAAATTCCAATCTAAACTACTAATTTTATGTTATAAAACCTATTTTTAATCCATTCTCAATAGATTTTTCAAAAGAAAACATTATTATCATATATTTTTAAAAATCTATAAAATCAAGTTCTAAATTCAAATATCACATTGCGAGTTCACACCTACAATTGCACGAAAGAAAATATTATATTCGTTTCTGGTTCATTGTGAGTTCACACTATACATGCACAAAACTAAATTATAAATTCGTCTTTTGTTCACTCTGCATTCATACTATATATACATAAAAGAAAATCCTAAAATCGTCTCGTGTCTACCGTAAGTTCACTATATGTGCACAAAATAAATTTCTAAATTTCACCTATCGTCCATTTTTTAATTCACTTTTACATGCACAAAAATAAATAATAGATTTATCTCTTGTCTATATATATTGTTTAGAGTTCACACTATACGTGCTAATTTTTTAATATTTATAAATGGCCCTTTTGTCCACAATATTAGTTCACATTATACTTGCACAAAAAGAAATAAGTATATATTTTTACATGGAACTTTTCAGAAACATGCAAAAAGAAAAAAAATGTAGAAAGTAAAGCTAGCCATTATCATGTTTCTAATTTTTCTTTTTCCCTAAAAAAAGGAAGAAAAATTGGGCCAAATTTTTTTCGTGGATGCAAAATAATAATAATAATATATTTGCTTTAATCTTCACTTTAGACCCACTGGAATATACAGGTCTCGTAAAGATGGTATATGTCCTTAATACTGTGGTTGAATTATTGTTATTCATTATATTGTATTGTATTGTTATTATATCTATATTGTTTGTTTTGATTGTTACTTAAAATATATTGGACTGTATTGTTAAACTTTGTTGTTACGTAACAATGAAAATTCCTATTTTATGGAACAACTAATTTGGTGTGTTCCCATTGTTACTTAATTTCTTTTTCCTATTGTCCTTTTATCTTAATTATTTAAATCTAGTCAAACCTCCTACCTTAGAATAATTAAGATATTATAGTAAATTTATAAATTACAATACAGTACAATACGATCAAACCAAACAATTAAAATGTTATTAAACAACAATAAACAATATAGTCTTGCCAAACATTGTACCATACAATACAGTACAATAGAGTACAATATGATACAATACATTATGAAACAATGGGTAACAATGATCCAAACAAAGTGTAACTCAACAACAAAAGCTAGTTCAATGGGAGAGGATTGTCCAGGACTTATAACGAGTCTAATCATCTCATTAATCACCGATGTGAGATTTTTGTCATTCTTTAACATCATCCGGCGCGTGGGTATTTGGGCTTCCAACATTGGGTGAGATGGACCCTGTTCTGGTACCAGGTAAAGATATGACACTTATATGAACTTGGACGATCCTCCCCTCATGAGCGAGCTTTTGGGAGTGTGAGTTAGGCCCAAGACCTAATTTACATAGTATCAGAGTCAGGTCCAACCCCGACTCCCGATCCACGCTTTAGTTGAATCTGAATGTGAAGGAGTGTGTTAGAGTGGGTAAAAGTCTCACATTAGTTGGGGAATGGAATGATGGTCTACAGACTTGGAAAATCATCCCTCATGAGTTACCTAATTTTAACCGTTTTAAAAATTCGCTATACATATACAAATGAAGTGAATTGTATAAAACGAGAAAGAGAGAAATTATATACAATTTGAATTTATATAAAATGAGAAAGAGAGAAAGACAAAAGAGACTTGAGTCGGGAATACACAATTAAATCGAATTGTATAAAATGAGAAAGAGAGAAATTATACAATTTGAATTTTTATAAAACGAGAAAGAGAGAAAGACAAAAGAAACTGGGCAAGAGAGTATTTTTATTGTATAATTATAAGTATATAGAACGAAAATGTATGTATTTGCATGTGTATGTATAATTTTCTCTCGCTTTATACAAATAGAAACGCAATTTATATATTTCGTCTATGTTTGTATAAGCAAGAGAGGCGAAGGTGACGAGCGAGATAAGGGAGAGTGACGAGCGAGATCTGGGAGAGAGGAACAAAAATATATGTATTTATACAATTTCCTTTTGCTTTATGCAAACACAAATACATTTTATACATTTGTGTTTGTATAAAAAGCGAGAGAGGCAAGCGAGACTGCCACCAAACGAGAGTGGCGAGCGAGATTCCACCAAGGAGAGTGGTAAAAATAGCTATAGTTTGCTATAGGGTACAATTAAATCAAAGTATATTTATAGCATTTAATTTGAATTAATAATTTGCTATCACTCAACATCTTAATATATCATGTACGTCGTGATACAAAGTGTGTGTGTGTATATATATACACACACACACTTTGTATCACGACGTACACGATATATTAAGATGTTGAGTGATGTATTAAAAAATGAGACGCGATGTATTAGGACATTGAGTAATGTATTTGAAATCAGAACGCAATGTATCGAAATTCGAATTTCACCAAATTTAAGAGATTTTTTTTAATTTAAAATAATATAGAAACAGAATATGATTAGCTCTTAACACTTTAAAATTTATATAAAATTCCAAAAAAAATTAATTTGATCCTAAAACAAGTACCGTCAACTAATATTGTGCAAGTGAATATATTAAGAAATTAAAATTGTTACAAAATCTTGAAATTCTTGTAGCTTAGGGATATATATTACAAGATGAGTTACAATATATAAGTAGGCTAACCAGGCAATCTCGTAAAATAACCTTTCAAGGAAAACTATTTAATTACTCAAATATTCCTACCATATTTACAAGTTTTCTCTTAATTTGAAATAATTATATATTTTCACATTAATTAATAATTTCATATCATATTTCAAGTCAGATGTACCTAAATGTAGGGTGTCAAATAGGCGGATTAGGTTGAAATTGAAGATATTAAAATAGTTTGCATTAGAGACTGAGTTGAGTTTACTTTGGTCTCAAATGAGTTGGGCTCAAATGGGCTAAAAATTGGTAAGGTCATGACCCGCTTAATCTCAATAATTTTAACATATTATAATTTAACTTTTATAACCATAATTTAAATTTCAACTCAAGAGAATAAAATAAAAAGTTATATATGGATAGATAAATTCCAGAACAGTTCCTACATTATATCAATGCGAATAAAGAATCTTAAAATGGGTTGAAATTGGAGATTAAATTGGGCTCAACTGAAATTTCTTTTTAAAAAGGGTCAAGGCTTGAATGAGTTGAGTTTGAATCCAATATCTTCAGTCCAACTTATAAAATATTGGACGGATTGGACTAGTTACCTATACTGGGCTCATTTTTTACACCCCTACCTAGATATATGTATTTTTATTGTTAGATGCACTATAAAAGGGAGAGAGGTGATGAGTTAAGAGGGAGTCAATGAGATAATCTATGAATCCCAAATACAGATACATGTATATGTGATACTAGATATATTTTGAAATACAAATACATAGAGCCCCTTTCGCTTATGTTGTCTCAGTCTTGGATAGAGTCCATTACCTATCTTTCTTTGTTTGAATGAGACTATCTGGCCCTAAGTGAATCAGACTAACCACCTGTTCATCTTCTTCTATTTGTAGGTACACACACTTGAGGATCAAGACTAGAATCTCCATAGATGGACTCTGAGATCTCGTCAAAAGAATAATCACCAGGGTAAATTAAAATTTGGTAAGATCTGATCCATAGTGCAAACCCATCATAATATAATTGGTTAGTGCTCTGAGTCTTCTTCCACTATTCATACTTGGCTCTTATCTACATTGTAGATGTCCTTAATTGCCCTAATGTATGTCATAGGTACGCCTCTAGCCTCCAGACACTTTATATCTTAGCACAAATCCTATCTAGTTCTAAAAATTAATGCTCATCATTACCTTCATCTCCATCACCCTCTCTCGAACCTTCATATTATGGCTTAGTAGCTTCATATCCTATAGTTGTTGCAATTCTGACTACTACCATACTCTTATTCTTGTACAACAGAATCATTGTACTCCACCTTTGTTCTTTGGACATTTTTATCATGTTTAAAACGACACTTAATAATCCAGCTAGTCAGTTTGTATCTATCGTGACTATGCTCTTCCATATATAATTCGATCAGGATCTCGTCTAGCCCGATCGCTCTTCCCCTATGCATCATTTGAATCACACAACCTCCGTAACCTTTATACACCTCCAACACCTAAAACAATTATATATATCTCAAAAGAGACGTAATATGAGAAAAAATTTTCGATTGTATACTATTGATTCTGATTCTTAAAATTTAAATATCTTATAATATCTCTCTCTAATAGAGTCGTTAATATAATACAATCATTTTTAATTGAATTATTGATTCTAGGTTTTAAAACATAAATTTTCTTACCCACGATCAATATATATATATATCTAAAAGAGATATTTGTCAATATCTCTAAGAGAACCGTTAATATTAGACAAATTTTCTAATTTGAACTATGTGATTCTAGGTTTTAAAACTTAAATTTTCTTATCCACGATCAATATATATCTCTAAAAGAAATATTAGTTCATGAAAATCTTTTTCTAATATGAACTACTAACTTTTGTCTTAAAAATTAATTATTACCAACCAATTATGACTAATTAGGAGAAGAAATAAAAAGTAACAAAGCATCACAAAAAAATAGCATATTTTCAGGCTACCATATTTCCCAATTGTTATATATATATATAGGGTATCATGGTTAGCCTTTTATTAACCAAAACTCAACTCTCTACACTCCTTGTTTATCACCTCAATTTTATTTTTTTTTAAATTTCCTTTGTAGAAATGGCAACCAAATCTACATGGACTAGAGAGGAAAACAAAATGTTTGAAAATGCATTGGCTATTTTTGACAAGGATACACATGATAGATGGAGTAATGTAGCTAAGGCCACAGGCAAAACTGAAGAAGAGGTAAAATTACATTACCAAAAACTTGTAGAAGATATCGAAAATATCGAGGCTGATCTAGTTCCCTTGCCTAAATATAACGAGGTAAGTGTTGATCATGACAACAAAACAACGACGACAAACAAAGGTAAAATACATGCTCCTATCTGAGTAGATGATAGTAGTTCAGATAGAAAAGAAAAAAAAAACTTCGACATGATGATATTTCAAATAGCAAAAATAATGATATAAGATCAATTGTGTTTTTTTTTTCTTACAATTTTATTAACTCTAAAAAGTTATTTAAATCTAAAACTATATTTTGTGTTTATCTTTTTTTCTCATTTAATTTATTTGAATTAATGAACTTTGTTATTTTATTTGACAGAGTGAAGTCTCTCAAGATCAATAAGAAGCAATAAATAGCAATGAAGATGGAGAAAAGGAAATTGCTAATTAAACTAGTGTCTTTCCTTTCTATATTATTATTTTCTTATAATTTTTCAATGTGTTTTTTTTGTAATAAGCAAATTTATGTACTATGTTTTGAAAGGTGGCTCAATTACATCTTTCATATTCAAATAAATGATATCATTATGAATTATTGTACAAATTTGTGTGCATTATATTACTTATGATTAAGCAAATAAAATATATTTAGTAGCAAAATTCTGAGTTCATTGCTCATGTGGTTACTCAATTATTATAAATTATATTAATAAAAAAAGAAAATTTTGGTCAAAAAAATTGTGGGTTCCTCTTTACCTCCTAAATTTTCAATAAACTACACTTTGATTCTACCTCTACACTATAAATACCCCTCCATCTAATGTTGGTGCTATCAAGTTTGGTGAATTTTTTTGAGTTAAGTCTCAAATTTCAACATTATTTTTCTACTTTTAGTTATAGTTATATGTTTTTACATAGAAGTTCGGTACATTTATTTTATTTCTTAATTTATTTTATCCAGTATTTAATTTTCTTCTATAATTTAGTTTGATTACTTTTCATATTTTATTTAATTTTAATATGATCTTAGGTAAAAAAAAAAGGCATGAATGTCCCTAAAGTGGTGAGCTTTTTCTAAAAAAAAAAGAAAGTAAAGGTTTTGGTTCTCTAATGATGTGCTAGTTTTCTTAAATCAATTTCTAGAGTTAGAAATGATTTTAGTTTTGAGGAAAAAAATAAAGGAATGAGTAGAATTAGAGGAATAAAAATTAGATTATACATCTCTTTATCTTAAAATTCAAATCTATTACCCATGAGAAAATTAAAAAAAAATTTGTAATTAATTATGACTAGTTAGAAGAAAAAACACAACAACAACAACAAAAAAGCATTTTTTGAGGCTCAAATATTTCAGAATCTATGTTAACTTTTTTTTTTAAAACCAAAGCATCATCTAGTTCTACTCTCTCCTTTTTGTATCATTTTAATTGCAATGTTCATTAGATTTGTAATAATGGCATTCAATTCAACATGGATTGGGAAGGAAGACAAAACATTTGAGAATGATGTAATGTGGCTAAGGCCACAAAATTGAGATTGAAGTGAAATTACACTATAAGAAACTTGTGAAAGTAAAAAATAAAATATAGGCAAGAAAACTAGATAAAAGGTAATATTTTTTAGGTAAGTTTTTGGTAGTGTAATTTCTCCTCTTTCTTAGTCTTGTCAGTGGACTTTCTTGGGTATGTAGCAAGAATTGATGGAAAATAGAGGGGAAGAGAGAGAATTTGAAAAGTTAAGAAGTTTGAAGAGTTGGAAATTTGAAAAGTCGTCTTATGCTTTAATGAAAAGACATTTGTCCCTCATCGATGGTGGAAAGAAAAAATAAGAGAGTTTAAATATAGAAACACTCATATTGATTGTTAAAAGGGTTGGAAAGAGGGACTCCCTTGCGCCGTCGTCGCTCGTCTAGGCTACGGCTTCAATCGAGAGATTATTTTTGGACAAAGTTTGTTTTAATTAATTAATTATTTAATTAATTAATTAAATGGCCAAAATGATTTCAATTAATTAGTCGATAACAGAAAAGTTTTCAGTTATTTAGTTGAAATTAACCGAAACATTTCAACTTTTTAGTTGATTAACCCGACCCGACTTGAATTCGCGTGCGACTCGATTGATTAAAAAAACTTTGTTGTTTTATTTAAATTTTCCGCTATTTTTAAAAATGATTGTTCTGAAAGGTTGCAACTTTCAGGAACAGTCAGTACCATTTGAAAGGTTGCAAACTTTCATTAATGGTCGTGTGGATTCTGAAAGGATTGCAACCTTTCGGAACATGTTCCTCTTGCCTATAAATATCATTCACTCTTCAGAATTTTTCCTTACGAATTTTTCTTATCTCTTCTTCTTATTCTGCACAACAAATTACTTCGTGTATTTTGCTGTTGTTGACTGGTTCGCTGACATTAAAGTTTTTGGTATCTAATCTATACTCTGGTGATTGAGATCATTTTACTCTGGGAGGTCATATTCCAAATCAAATCTCGGATACTAGAGGGGAATAATTTCCTTAAGGGGACACTGTGAGTTCAATGGACTTGATTTTTTTCTATTCAATTTTTTTCAGATTCTGGTACAGTTACAGACTTAAAGTTTGTTCTTAATTAATTTCTGTACATCTCTTGTACTGATTCTGTAAACTTTGATTACTTCATATTTGTACAAAATTTTATCAGAATCAGTAATTTTAATTTTCAAACACAGACTAGCAACAGTCTTAGCCACGTTAAACCATTTATTTGGTGTGTCATTTCAAATTTCTTGTTTTGCTTGCGAGTCCATGTTGAATTGGATGTCATTTTATGCAAATACAAAGAACATTACATTAAATTATAAAAAGGTGGTGCAAAAAAAAAGGTTAAAATTGATACTTTATAATAGCTTGAGAAATATGGTTGCTTCATTAAGTTTTATTTCTTCGTCCAATTATAAATAATTAATATATTAGTTTCTCAATATAAAGAATCGTATGCCTCATATGAAAGATATCTAACAACTCAACTAGAGTGAAATTGAAATTAATATTTTTTTATTAAAAATGAAATTAATGTAAGTAAATAATCTTGTAAAATATCTTTTGATCCTATTGGAAAATGTTTTCCTCCATAAGGAAAAGTGAAAAACCAACCAATATTTTGCACAATTACATGATATTATTTACGTAATATTCAAATGGGAGATCATTATAGTTAAGTAATTACCTAATAAACACATTAAATATTTCAAAATATTAGACAAATTTTCCATCTAAGCTATTTATTTTATGTCTTAAAATTTAATTGTTTTACCCACCCTCATGAATATATATCTCAAAAAGAAGTGTTAATATCAAATAATTTTTTCAAAAATTCTATAAAAGTCTGTATTGAATTCACACTAATCGTATTGTGACTTCACGCTATACACGTATAAAAAAAAATTCTAAATTTGTCTTTTTCCCATACTGTGAGTTCACATCATACACACATAAAAAAATCATAACTTCTTTTCTAATATATGTTACGAGTTCACATTATACACGCTTAAAAGACAAATATATAATGCTATAAAAAGTGAGGTGTTGAACCAAAAGCCAATTGAAACATGCAAAAAGAAGTGTGATAAGTAGAGCTAGGCATTATCACGTTTTTAATTTTAGTTTTTTATTTAAAAAAAAATAGAATTTGGGCCAAATTATTTTCGTGAATGTAAAAATAATTATTACAAAAATGTTTCAGTATGATATATAGGGTAATTAATTGATAACAAATTGTGGTATTATCAATACAAAGATTATTATACGCGGATATACATGGCTAAATACATAACAATGTTAGCATAATTAATTTCAATATAACTAATTAAGCATTACTAATCTCAATATTTTTAATACGTTCTATTTAGTAATGTTCTTATACGCTTTATCAAACGACTACATCAATATTATTGGATTTGGAGCGAGTTGGGCTTTCTTTTTTGGTTTTGGGGTTATTTAAGTTCACATGTGCTTCTATAAGTTCCATATTACGAGTTGGGCGTAGAAAAAAATATCAAAATTTCACTAGCTTAAAATTCGATTACTTAAATATACATTAGTTTGAAATATTATGAATCTTATTAAATTTTGGTACATTCAGATACATCCAGATATATGTATCTAGGGATACATAACGTCAAAAGTAGGTGTAATTTATTCTAGATACAATGTATCCAAATGAATTCACATGTATATTGATACATAAAGAAATCTAATTAGTTTTAGTTTCCTCTCATCTCGCTCACCACTTTCCTATGAATATAATATCTCAGATACAAGCGAATTATATGTATTTGTATGTATCTTGTGTGACTCACATATATCTGGGATACACTGACAAATCTCGCTCGCTTCTATCCCTATTTCAGTGTATCTGATAGCAAAAAAACATGTATCTATATATCAATGACTTGAAAATCTTATATGAAACTATTAATTAGCGATATAAAATGTAATTATTTCAAATTATAGGAAGAAATAGTAAATATAATTGTGTAATTAATTAGGTAGTTTCTCAAATAATTTATAGAGTGATTTAGCTACATTGAAAGTAATTTTCTACGACAAAATAGAAAGAATTAACAATTACATAATTTCTAATATTTGAATAATTATTCTATAACTTTATAGTAAATAAGATAACACAAAAGAATATAAAGAAAATTCATTAATTTGGATCGAAAAGATGTTTTTTAAGTCACCTTTATACAATAACCATTGAAAATTCAGATGAAAATAAATGATATAAAACTAAAAGAAAGACATTTTTCAGCCAGCATCCTTCTCTTCATTTTTTTGCTTCTAATTCAGCCTGCCAATACAATAACAAGTTCATTAATCCAAATAAATGAGAAAAAAAATGTCAGAAATTATTTTATGTACTATTAATTATCCATGATTTTTATTAGATTATCAATTATAAATAACAATTATTTGAAAATTGGGAGAAGTATTAATTTTACCTTTACTCATCATGCTCACCATTGTTGTTATGATCACCACTTACCTCAATTTTTTTTATTTCCACCATAAGTTTTTCATAATATACCTTAATTTCATCCTCAGTTTTACCTGTACAACGAACCAAATAACGCCACATACCTGGTGTTTCATCAATACCATAAATAGCTAAAGCATTTTGAAACTTCTTGTGTTGCTCCCAAGTCCATATCAAATTTGAGGCCATTTTATACAAACACAAATTAAAATTAAAACTATGATGTTTTGGTACATAAAGTTAACCTAAACACTCTATATATAGTAATTGAGAGATACAAATAGACAAAGATATGGTCCACCTCAAATTAGTCATGATTAATTAAAATTAATTATCTTAGATTTTCTTGTGGGAAAATAGATTTTAGGAAAAAATATAATAGTCCAAGTCAGAAAATTTATCTGAAAATAATGGCTGTATATATTGAGTGTTGGTAAGTAAGTTAAATTTTAGGAATCAAAATAAGTTGATCATATCAAAAAAATTTTCTTACGTCATCAGCACTCATTAATCTCGTATCCAACTATATATACTTGTAGCAAAATTAAGACAATATCGTATACATCAAAAGATGAACACCCAATAAA